ACGGCTCTGCAGCCCCCACGCCCGGGCTGCCCCCACCATATCTGTGTGCCCCCGCAAACACAGCCCGCGCGGACGGAGCCACTCGCACTCTGCCCTGCGCCCTGGTCCAAACCCAGCCGCTGCGGCCCACGCCTGAGCCGGAGCCCCCTGGGCTCGCACGGGCCCTGCCGGTTCCCGGCTTCGCCGCAGGCACTGCAGGGTTAACGGGCTGGGGGGGCAGTGGAGCAGGGGAGGGCTACTGCCTCCCCCCGGGAGCCATAAGGCTGATGCATGGGCTGTTCACTGCTCACGTTTTGCAATTAGCTGGAGTGGCAAGTGGGCAGCTTCTGGAAGGGGCCAGCAGCCCCCGGCCGCTGCCCTCATCCACAACGGGGACATTTTTCTGCTCTTTCCACAGCTTCATCACCGAGAAGCTCTCGCAGGGAGCCCGGGGCTGGCTGGGAGGCAGGGGCGTGGGAGGCTTTGCCAGGCTTCGCTGCACAATGGGGCTGCCCTATTTCTGTGCCTCCCAGCCCAGTGGTCGTCTTCGCTCTGATTTCGTCAGCCTCCAAAGCCAGGTCTGGCTCCCGCTTGTTTATATCTGTCTGGAGGGCTCAGGCAGTAAAAAGCACAATCATTTTCTTGCTTCTCTGCCAGTATCTGCAGCAAGCAGGGAAAAAACCCAACCTTAAAGGGACTTTCTGACCTCAATCACGTAACTCGCCCTTCCTCCAGCCCTGGGGCTGCTGCTTTTTTCCAGCAGTTCAAAGGACTCAGACCTCCTGTCGAGCCTAGCACCAACCCACGGCATCCCACTCACCGCAGGGCTCAGAGAGGGGCCGGGCCGTGTGTGGTTGTGGTTGTGTGTCCCCCACCCCCGGTGCGAGATGGGCGCTGGGCTGGTGCAGACAGAGCTGGGGACTCCCGTTGGGGTTTCCTGCCGGTGCCTGGGGCGGCGGGAACCGAGCTCAGGCAGAGGGTGCAAGCCCTGTCCCCGCGAGGCGATGGGGCGATGCTCCAGCATGACTCACACCAGCTGCCCAGCGTGGCCCTGGCGGAGCCGGGGACTGAGCCCAGAGCCGCCGCTTCCTTTCGAGCTCACTCTCTGCCCTGGCGTTTCCAGGGCTTTGCTGCAGATGCCGACCCCCCTGCCCCAGCCTGGCCAGGCTGGCGCTGAGTGCGGAGGGGCGCGGGCACCCACAGCCCAAC